GAAACCTGAATCTCAGGGTGCAGACCCACAATAAATCTACTCACCCTCACTACATATGTGGAAAGTATAATAGTTGTATGACGAGACAAGTCACTAAATCTCGTCTCATAGTCGGTCGCAGGCATATGACCATAACGGAGCCGCTCAAACTGACCCTGAAGATCCTCTCTTTCTAAAGGTGGTATGTACTTCTCCAAGAATAGATATGTAAACTGATCACAACTCAAGGGAGGTGAGCATGCTGGCCTGCTCTAGAGGTAAGCCTACCACTATCTGCGGGCCTCGCCCTCAAGCTGAAATGTCGTGAAGTCCACCCCATTGCACTCCAATATTCCCATGTTACGTAGCCTCTCCTTGCAACGGTCAATGAAATCTTGTGGGTCCTCTGACCGCTCACCCCCAAAGACAGGAGGACGAAGCCTAGTCCATCTGTCCAGCCGCTTCTATTGCTCAACGGTCGCGGCTAGTCTGGGCTCTAGCATAACTGCTGCAACTGGCTGGGGGCCGTCCGTAGGTAATGTACCTGGGGTTTGATAAACGGCAGCAGCGTGCCCTAGAGCTTGAGCGGTAGGGGTTTGTGCTCCCTCTCTCGCCTGAGATATGGCTGGATCTGCTGGGAATAACCTAGCCTGGGTCATAGAATCCATGAACCGCTGCATACGGCCCATGACCTCTTGGAAGCCCGGTGCAGTCATGAAATACGCTGGGGCCAGTTCAGTTGCAGGTACCTCATCCTACTCCTCAATAACATGATCCTCCACCGGATTCACTGGTGGTACTGTTGGAGCAACTCTAGGACGTCTTCGTCCTCTCATAGGAGTTGTGGCCCTCCTTCGGCCACGGCCTCTGCCTCTGATAACCGGGAGAGAAGCTCCTATGTCGTCGGGTTCAACTGTAACGCACCTTCTCACCATCTGTGAGAGAATAAGAGAAAGTTACTTAGCACAACATCAATTGCACGATAGGAGATGAAGAAATAAGAGTTTTCTAACACCCAATAGCCACTCGAAGATAAGTACGGACATCTCCACACCGATCCGCTAGACTCTACTAGGCCTACTCATGACTCGTGAGACCTATGTGAACCTAGAGCTCTGATACCAAACTATCATGACCCAAATCCTATAATAGGTCACGATGGCGCCCAATGATGTGTTTGTCAAGCCAACAGTGAACCTCCTCATTAATTATCCAAGTTAACTTTTAAACTTAGAATTTTTCATTAATTAAATAGGAACTAAACATGAAACTCATGGAAACATATGCATTGTTTTACTAAAAATACGGGTACGAATAGTATATAAAGTAATGTGATAGTAACAACAAGTTCAACAGTGAAATTCCACTAGAAGCCCCCAAAATCTGGTATCACAAGTGCATGAGCAATCTAAGGAATATACAAAACTACTACAAGTACTGTCCGAAATAAAATAGACAGAAATAATAAATAAGACAGAGAGAGACTCCGGATGCTGTAGATCGAAGCAAGGCAAGCAGCTCACCACTAAGTCTCCGTGAAAGTATGTCTACGTGCTAGTGTGACCACTGGAAGTACCTGTCTCAGTACCTGCACAATCAATGCAAAAGTATAGCATGAGTACGTAAATCAACGCGTAACCAGTAAGTATTTAGTCTAACCTCGAAGAAGTAGTAACGAGGGGTAGACTTGACACTTACTAGTGGTTAGATGATAAAATACATAAAGTAGACATGCATGAAGTACAACAAGTAGCAACAAAACACATAAACTTAATAGTAAATTTCCAAACATGGATCAATATGAAATCACTAAAATATCATAACCGGCCTCGAAGGCACGAACTCAACTAATATCAAAACCAAATCAAATCTCAAGTATTAAGCACGAGTCTGCCGAGATGAGCGGCCCGATCCCATAGGAAAAGTGATACACTGTACTGCCTAGGCGAACGGCCCAATCCCATAAGAGTAATTTACAACACTGCCGATGCGAACGGCCTGATCCTATTAGAATAGAGAAACTACCTCACTCGCTAAAGTACATGCGAGTCGAGAAGACACAAATCTATTTTTCGTCGAATATTCCAAAAAAATTCAAAGTACACTCAGTCAATATTTTATTCTAGCCGCAATCCCAGCCAAAAATTAAAGAAATCAAACATACAAGGTAAGTACAAATAGCACATTTAAGGCATGATGTGAATCTAAGTCTACCCGGACATAACATGGATATAGCTACGTACGGACTCTCATCACCTCGTGTGCACGTAGCTCCCACAACAAGTAGCACACAATAATTAATACACCTAAGAGGATAATTCCCTCTTACAGGGTTAGTCAAGAGACTTACCTCGCTTCCAAGTTCACTATCCGGCTCTTAACTTCACTAGCAATCGCCAAACGACGACGAGCAATCCAAAACTAGCAAAAAGTTGTATAAACTAATTAATATATGCTCAAAAGTTCATAATTCAATTACTAAAGTGATTTTCCAACCAAATTCAGAAAGTCCATAAAAGTCACCCCCGGACCCACGTAACCGGATTCCGGAAATTTTGAAAATAAACGTTACCCATGACATTACGAACTCAAATATATAATTTATTCCTAATTCCATAATCAATTTCGTGGTCAAACCCCATTTTTACAAAATCCTAGATTTCCAACAAAATCCCACAAATTTACACTAATTTTCATGTTAAATCTACCCATAATCCACGTATTTAACTTTAAAATGGGTAGAATCCACTTACCTTGTGATGCTCGGTGAAACTCCCCTCAAAGAGCTCCCAAAGATAGGCCAAACCAAGAGAGAAGTGAGTGAAATGAGCCTAAGTCTCGAGTTAAATTCATCTTCTGCCCAGCAATTTTCGCATCTGCGGAACCTTTTCTGCTTCTACGACTCCACATCTGCAGAAAATGCATCGCAGATGCGGCCCTAACTTAAGACCAGAGATTCCGCTTCTGCGGCCAAGGGACGCACCTGCGCTTCCGCTTCCGTGGACCACCATCGCACCTGCGCTTCCGCTTCTGCGGACGATCATCGCACCTGCGGTCCCTGCTCCCTCAACTCAAATCCCTTCTGCGGATTTCTCCCCCTTCTGCGGCCGCACGCCTGTGGGCCCGGCTCCCCTAGCCAAAACTTTGCACCTGTAGCGAACCAGCCACTTTTGTAGCGCCGCACCTGCAGCCCAAACTTCGCAGGTGCGAAAATACTAGCCTTCAGCAATCCTCTAAGTTCAAACATGATCCACCAACCATCTCAATCACACCCGAGGCCCTTAAGGCCCCATCCAAATACACCAACCAGTCCTAAAATACGTTACGAACTTGCTCGGAGCCTCAAATCGCACCGAACAATATCAAAGTCACGAATCGCACCCCAATTCAAGCCTAATAAAACTAATGAACTTTCAACTTGTAAAACTAATGCCGAATCATACCAAACTAATTCCGAATAAGTTGAAATTTTGCACACTAGTCTCAAATGACACAACGGACTTATTCCAACTTTCGGAACCGAAATCCGAACACGGCATTAAAAAGTCAACTCTCGGCCAAATCTCTCAACCTTCCAAATCTTCAACTTTCAAATTTTCGCCAAAAAAGCCTCAAACCAACGTATAGACCTCCAAATAGATATCCGGACATACGCCTAAGTCCAAAATCATCATACTAACCTATTGGAACCTTCAAATCCCGATTCTGAGGTCGTTTACTCAAAGTGTTGACTCAAGTCAAACTTGACCACTATCATGGAACTATGTGTCCCGATTTCAACCCGAGCCATTTCAAAACCAAACCACACATCCCCGCAAGTCAAAAAATAATAAAAGCACATATGGGAAGTCTAAAATAAGAGAACGGGGATCTAGAAAGCAAAACGACCGGTGGGTCGTTACAGTTAGATTGTTCATCAAAATCTACCCGATTGCATAGTTTGTTTGTGTTGTTCAGCAAAGTGTTCTTCGATATTGCAATTTCACTTTCGATTAAATCACCTCAAATCTACTCCAAATGATCTCAAATTTGAAACAAAACCTTCAAATACCACCACAAATAAACCTAAATTACCAATTTAGTCAAATAATTACTAAATCAAGAAGACTCACTTTGTCTTCTTCAATACTTTCTAAGGACCAATAATCGGGACAATATTTAAAAATCAGTCCCTTACGAGGACATCCGGTGCAATTTTGTGGACCAGCAGTTCATGTCTAGTTAACCAAGATTTATTAGGTATCAACACCACTAAGAGGTGTGGCGAGATGGATGAAATCTCTCTATCCTTAATCAGAGGTCTGAGCTCTGGGAATGAAGAAATTTGTAGAAGGGAGCAATTTTCTCATTAATGGACATTACCAACACGAATCTGGATTAGTCGAATCAGTGGAGTAAAGTAGGAAATGATTATATTAAAATTTAATAAAAAGAAGAAGAAGATCAGCTCTATCAGCTGAAAGCAGCTACGCTGCTGATTGAAATTTTGGAGAAATATGGAAGTATGAAAAATAGGCAGTCAGATTGAGAAACATAATCAGAACATATTTGGTAGATTATCTATAAAATATGCATGCTTTAAAAACAAAATGAAATTATCACTTTAACCACCTCCTTTTAATGAGTTACTTTTCTTCAGTTCCACCAATTTTCGCTCCCAATTAGCACGTTCATAATCTCTGTGATTTATTTGATGGAAAATTGACCTTTACATTTTTTACTATATTCAGATTATCTTATATACAAACTTACAAGTGGTACCCTAACTAATTATTGGTAATATACTAATATTATTATAATGTTTACATAAAGATTGATTTATTATTCTCAAGAACATAGATTTCTATCATACCAAACACATCAGCCACGCGATGTGGATTCAATAATTAAACTTTCAATATTTGCATGCCAGGAACGTGTTTAATCATAACGACCCTTTGACAAGTAATAAAGATTAGACCAAGATCTTTTTAATTATCTGCCACAAATATTCAACCACTTAGAAATTAGACCAGAACAAAGAACTAAAACACAAGTCCAAATCCAATTCTAATCCTTCAAAAGATAGCCTATAATCGTAGTGAAAACCTATACATCTTGGTATTATAGAGTTCATTGGAAAAACTAGAAATTAGAGGATACAGTGGCAGTCCTAAGCTGATCTACCTTGCAAATACATTCGAATTAAATAAGTTTAGTTCTACAATCCTAGTGTCAACAGGCAGTGAAACATTTAACATGCTAAGGAAAACTTCGTTTGCTCAGCAGCTAATCCTTTTTTCTTTGATAATCGAGAAATCTCCAACGACCAGCAGACACACGGCTCGAAACTTGGTGAATAATGAACCACCCCTCTACTCTTCTCCACTTAAATACCAGGCTTTAGTTCGCGCCAGGATTCGAACCCGTGACGTGCGTCTAACGCCCTGATCACACATTGTGCGCCCCGCTACTCTCTTCCACTTAAATACCAGGCTTTAGTTCGCGACAGGAATCGAATCCGTGACGTGCGTCTAACCCACTGATCACACACTGTGCTCTTATTACCAAACCAAAGCCCTGGGGCTGCTCTGCAGCTAATACTAAGACATAGATTGCCTCCTACTTCTACATGGGGTAGACTTTGTTTCCCCTGCATTTGAAGATGATGGGCTTTCTGATGTATCCGAGCTGCTATTCTCACTTAGTCTATCTTTATTTGACCACAGTTTTGAGAACATTTTTTTCGATATGATTGAACCCTTCACTTTGCTAGTATCAACTTTTTCCGCATTTGTTTTCATGTCGTTCAAGTCACTACCATTGTTACCTTCCCTGTCTCTCAATCTTAGAGTAGCAAGCCCACCTTTCAGAGCTTTAAGTTCCTTTGCTGTGGGCACAGCATCCCAATCTTCCTCGGTGTTGGATGTAACAGACGTGGAGCTCCCGTAAGATCCCACCGGGAGCAAAGCCTTAACTGATCTAGTTAGGTCGGGAGTGCTGCCACCGCCGGATGATGTTGTGGCTCTTACTTGCTCAAAGAATAGAACTTGTACAACTATACGCAAAGGAAGGCGCTCGTTCTGCACAGCATGCATGCAGGCCTCAGCTGATAGCTTCCTGCAGTCCATCAGCCTGCAAATTCTTTTTCTCTCGCTTTTGGTAATCCCGGGATGTTCCTACCAAAAGAAAATAATGATGATTCATAATCCTTGATGAAAAATCCTTCACATAAAATTGGTGTGTTTCACCAATTTACTCAATTTGATACTGATACTTGAGCGTACATAATTACTCCTTCTGTTTCAATTTATATGAGATAGTTTAACTCGGCACGAAGTTTAAGAAGAAAAAAAAAACTTTCGAAATATATGATCCTAAAGGCTTAAGGGGTAAAAGCTTTGTGAGGCCATGACATTTGTGTGGCTATAAAAGCTTCTCATTAAGGGTAAATGGGCAAAATAAAAAGTTTAAAGTTAAATTACTTCCAAATAATAAATATGCCATTCTTTTTGGAATAGACAAATTAGGAAAGTATGTCATACAAATTTAGACGAACGGAGTACTAGCTGTAATTCAAACAAGAGAAATGCAAAAGGATACCTTAAGATACATGTCGATAGCACGGTAAATTCCATCATGGGATGATCTGGAGAAACCAGATACCAACTCTGCAAGATTGACAAATTTCGATAGAGGTAGGTTTGGATCTCTAGCAACTTCAGCAAGGTATCCATCAATTATCCTAGCCACCTTAACCTTGGAACGTTCTGATGCAAATGCAGGCCGTATATCCTGGAATCTATTATCTGCTGGACAATCAATCTGACCATTCTTTTGATGGAGCATGAACTGCTCTATGAGGTCGTGTACTAGGTCAATATCGAACATAATAGTTTCACTATCTGGAGCTCGAATTAGAAGGTCACCTACTGTCGCCTCTTCCAGCTGCAGCCCGACCCTCTTCTTCAGTTCACTTCTGACTGTTTGTCCACATTCCAATGCAATAGATGCTTGCAGCAATCGGATCAAGAAACCACACGAAACACCATTTTTCTCTTTGGGCAACAACCAAGTAATCGTATCAACCAGATACCGATACTTTTCAGGATCACTTCCATGTATCTTACCCTTGCTGAATCCAAGTAGCCTTCGGTTGACATATGCTTTCAATGCTTCACCTATTGCTTCTGCAGACATCCTTCCTTTTGTTTTTATGGTTGTTATGACCCGTTTATACAAGTCAATATGAAGCTCGCAAAGGTCCTCAACCCACCAGTCTTCTGGAACAAGCTGTTGCTTGTTCACTACGTCGCAGTGCAGATCAATTTCATTTTCAGATAGAAGCTTTTTATGGTTATAAGTATAAGACCAGTCCACCTTTGAGGTGTCTGTGGAAGCTTTAGATGCCACGGAATCCAGGCAATGACTAACGATCTTTAGTTCCTCGCACCAGGGAAAAAAACCTTTTGTGGTCTGAAGAACAATGATAGAGTCTTTCCAGCTTCTGAAGATGCTAGATGTAAGAAAAACTTCAATCTTGTAGATAAGATTTCCTTTCTCAACTGTCTCGTACATTTCCAAGTACTCTGCTGCACAACGAGCTGCAACGACGTTATATGCATTCAAAGTTACTGTCATACCATAACAGAACTTTGCGCATACATCAAAAGCAGCAGGTCCACCAGGTATATCATGGATGTTGATTTCATCGCCGTTTTCCTCATTTGTACAGGCAACCAGCTTCTGCAAGCGATAACTCTTCGACAGAAGGGGGAACTGGAGAAAATTGCATTGCAATTAGTATTATCAGAATATATTTTGGCACGAGAAGATAGTATATTTGCTATTTCTCATGCAGAAAACAGCCTACAAATACGGATTAGAAAGGCTACATACCTTGTGGAGGTAAAACTTCACATCTCCAACATTGATAACCATGTCAGTTGCCAATTCAGTTGCTACATACCTGAATATATACATAGTTCATACATCATATGGCTAGTGAAAAACATAGTAAACAATCTTCAATTAAAACTATCCACATCACTTCTTCATATGAGAAAAGCAAATGAAGAATAACAAGTGAATCGAAACAACAAATGCTATGTATTATTTTGGTGTCTATAATTGATACTCCAAAGGGGCCATCACAACTTTCTTGATGAAATCATTTCCTGATGTTTGATTGTCTAAAATTGTTAAAAGCATATATTTTCAAAAAAAATAATACTCTCTCCGTTTCAATTTATGTGAACCTATTTCCTTTTTAGTCCGTACCAAAAAGAATGGTCTCTTTCCTTATTTGGAAATAATTTACCTTTATGTAATGATTTATAACTACACAAAATATATGTGTCACATTCTACACCACAAATTCAAACGTTTCTCTCTTTTCTTAAACTCCGTGCCCAGTCAAATGGGTTCACATAAATTGAAACGGAGGGAGTACTTAATATCTAATCGGCATGTAAGTCATTTATTGCCACTCTGCATCACATTGCTCCTACCGATATGCAAACATTAATTTTAATTTTTGCTACTACTATCAGAATTTCAAATTTTCACACAACCAAATAGTTGAAGATTGATTTACCATATAAACAATGATAACCGCGAAAGAGTTTTTCATCTAACAAGCAAAGTTGTACAGTACGATGTGCTTGAGAGGAAGAACTGGCCTAAATGAAGACAATACAACTCAAATAGCCATAGCAATATATATAGTAATAGAAAAGTACATCATCTGGAAATGATTTCACATGATCAGTGATTTTTAACCGTTCATAGTAGGTTATTATTTTACCAAGTAACTTATTAGTAATGTTTATCGTAAAAATTTACTTGTAATTACCTAATAAGTGACCTGATTGTGTAAATGGTTTTTTTACCCTTTTAGTTCGTCGAACTTAAAGTCAGGTAGAAATAAGACATATATACACAAATCAAAAAAGAAGAGTTATGCTGGGAAAGAACTAAACAACATTCACCAAATTAAGTCCATTATTCACCTGATATTATCTCCTTCAGTCTGAAACTGATCAGGTTTCGATCCAAGTTTCATAAACTTCATCTTCGCCGACGAATTCTCTTCACCTCCGGTTTTTTTAATAATTCAGCAAACAAAAGGAAGGAAATGACTTCTTCAGAACTCACCGTCTTTTAAATTCTGAATCCGCTACTGATAGTATTTAAGACATGACCAACAGCTCTGCGTCTGGCAAAAAATGCTAATTATAGTTCTGAAAATCAGAGGCAATCCCACTTGCTGTCCGCAGACACCACCGCCCTTCCACTAATTCTTTATCTTCAAAATACCTCCACTCTAAATGTTTATATATTTAAGAAAACTTCCAAATTGCCTTTTTTGAGAAAACAATTAACAAACCCCGGAATCAACATTCCTCTGAAGTAGAAGAACCTGTCACAGCAAAGACACATCAGAATGGTATGAAGTGAAGAGCACCACTAAAATTTTCAACAAAAAGCATCAACTGATTCTGGAAAATTGTACAAATATGAACAAACACACACTACCACCAAAACAAAAGTGGTTCATATTGGCAATGGAAAAAGCAAATTCCCAAAACATAGCATCTCAACAAACATAACACGACACTAGACGTGGATGGAGTTTATATACTATGGGTTCAACTGCCATCTTTTCGACATGAAATATAAATACTCGTATATATTAAAAAATTTACTAAAACTTCAACAAATATTAAATCTTGAGCCCATAATTACAATAGTACAGTGTCAAGAATCTTAAAAGTTGAATCTAGAATCTATCAAGTTTAAATAATGAATCTGCCTATAACAATACCACAAATAATGAAAACAAGCCAAAAAGAAAACCAACAAACCATCACAAGGGCTCAAACCCCATTTGCAGAAACTGATCTAGAATCAGAAAATGTATATATTTTGTATATAAGTATAAAATATATACATATAATATACATAATATATACATACCAAAGAAAAACTTATTGAACAGGCATTGTCAAAACATAAGAGAAGAAAAATGGAATTTTTTTTACTATTCATTATCTACAGGACTCACCAAAGAAGCTGTTAAATTAACTTACATGCAGCGCAGCGCAATGCAATCATCAAAATTCAGCTACGTATGAAAAGGAAAAGAGCATTTGAAAAACAGTGCAAATACAGTGTAAAAGCATTAAGTGACGTGAAGTAGTACAACTTTGAGAGAAAATCCAAGAACCACCTTCAATTGCCCACCACTAGTATTTTTTAGTAGTAACTATTTAGCTATCAAGAACCAACAAAAACACAAAACAACGACCCATCAAAAAGATGAGTTGTTTTCCTTATTTTTTGCCTGCCACAACACCAACACAATGTTCTCACAAAAATCCAAAGCTCGGAATGTTTCCAAAATCTTATCTTTCACTTCACTTTAGAATCAGCACCACTGCCCCCACCACCACTTCTTACTTACTAATTTTCTCTCCACCCAAAAACAGAATTCAAGAAAATTACTCACTTCCTTCCATTAATATAACACAAAATTTTAAAAAATAAACAATTTTCTTCTTCTTTTTTTTGAATTTTGTTATATAAATATGTATGTAACTATACAACAATTACAACAAACCACCATATTCCCATACTTGAGATCTAAAAAGGTTAGTGTGTGTAGAATTTACTTATATGACATAGTTTGACTCGACTCATAATTTAAGAGATAATAAAAGAAGTTTAAAATTTATGGTATTAAATATATCATTATATGTTACGTAACTATAATTGAAAACTAAACTATTTTTAAATATAAAAGCAAATATGTCATTTTTGCTAGAAGAAACTAAAGGATTGTCGGGCGCACAAGCATTCTCAATTCACGCCATATCGACAGTCTACCCTAATGAAAATATTAGTAACTGATTTTACGGTTCAAACCCGTGACTTAAAAGTTATACGGAGATAATTTTACCATAATGCAAATATTAGTAACTGATTTCACAAAAGTGACTTAAAACTCATACAGAGACGATATAATTTTATTCTCGGCTCCAAAACTTTCTGTGTTAGAAGGAACTAATAAAAATTAATATCACATATATTAAAATGCTTACCTTTTTTAAAACCAATTAAAAGGAAAGTGTGTGATTGAGGGGAAGGAGCAGATAAAGAATAGCTGTATTTGCTTCTTTTCAACTGTGTTTCAGTGATAACTAGAAAGTGGGGTTAGCTTCTTTTTGCAAGATGAGCTAATAAAGATCGCTTAATATCTCTCTTTTTGGGAAAATTGTTCTACAGTATCAGGCACGCCAATCTGACAGACTCGAATTTGTTGCCCCCTTTTTCCCCCCAAATAAACAAGATTAGCTAAAGTACCCATTGTTTAAACGAGAGATAACGACCACTCGCGTACTTTGATAATAGTGGTTTCCATCTCATTTCTCTAGGTATCTCTCTTTTACCAATTTATTCTAGAGTTTAATTTTATGCATTGACCAAAAGAAATAATATAATTTAAAGTAATTATCGGTAATTTTTTGTCATAAATATTAATTTTTTTCTATTTGATGTGAAAGATTCAAAGTACATCGGTTGAATCATATAAGTTTTCGTGTGAATTCGGACATATTCTTTAAGTTTTTTAACTATTATATATTTGAAAATTTCGTGAATTATACTACAAATAATTATAGGTAATAACTAGAGAGCCGGAGTGATGACATGGGGTCGATTTACTACCTTTACCAAGTCATAGGTAGCTTGGAGATGCACACGTATGAGAAGAAGCTAGCTCGAGACTTTGGTGGCCATAAAAGCTCGGCTATGGGGAGATACAGTGAATCTCGAAAATTAACATATGGATCATAATGAGATGATAAGAGAATAAATCATGTGTGACGAGCGCTAAACACAACACAAAAATGAATGCTTGCTGGTCAAAGATAAATATAGTATAATTATCGTCTCCACATGAATTGAATTTAAATAATATTTAAGTAATTTCTGACTTAATTGTTATTTAGGATGATTATTACTTTGGTCAGAATGATTATGAACTTAAACTAATTATTAAAACTAAAGCAATTAACAATTGATCACATAAAGACAAGAGTTGAGCAACACCGAATTAATAAATAGGAGAAATAAGTGTCGTGACACGATAGGTGCAAGATAGCTACTCGGAATTTAACTCTAGTTCAATTCACTCTAATGCTCTAATGATTCTTACGAATTCACTCGATGATTAGTTCAAACGTGTTGCCAAAACTGATCTCTCGATTAAACCTTAACTCTACAAGGTGAACTAATATAAAGCACTATGAAAATATGCAAGAACACGTTAATGGACTAGTCTTTAGGAAAATGTCTCTCAAATATTCTCCTAACTTGATTTAATCAACAATTCAACAAGCTCATTCGATTACTTAAAAGAATCACTAAATTAAACCAAACAAGATAATGCAAGGATAATCGCCCAAAATAATATTCCTCTTTTGATTAAATAATTTGGTGAACAAACTTGCAACCAATTCAAAGCTCCATAACCGAATTCATGCAAGAACTAGAGTTAAAATCCACAAGCATCAATCAAAACACCATATCTGTCAAACACTAAAGTAAACTACTCCATAATCATGGAGAAAGTCATCACAAATAAAGTTGAAGAATAAGAAAATATGAATTCAATCCAAACTCGGATGTTGAATTGAGTAAAGAATGATGAATCCTTGTAATTTGAATATCCAATGCTCTTCCAATCTTCAGATCAAAAGTCCATTCAAAAATGTATTTTCGATGTATTTATACCATGTAGAAGCAGGTCCGGGCGGAACTACCATTTCAAAGCCGAAGTGGGAAATTATTCTAAAAACAATATACATGCGCGACGCACCTCGCGTTGCCCTATGCACCACGCCAATGGGAAAGTTCAGAGAGCAGATTTTTTTTCACGCTGCAGGAAATTTGCACTAGCACCTTGTGCCCCCGCGTCGCTATAGTGTAATTTTCTCACAGTAAATGTCTCTTCTCATTTTTTGATATTCAGACTTAGTCCTCGAAACCCGAACATGATCCCGGCTTAAATTTCTTGGGCTTCTACTCAGACTTCAAAGCTCCAAATCATCTATTTTTGCTCCAAACTTATTTCTCCACTCGAAATCACATCCTACATGGCATAACACACGTAATTAGTACAATGTACTACCAATTAGGCTCAAATATAATCAATGTGTAGTAATTAGAGTGCGAAATATAGTTAAAAACGTGAGCTCCTAGCCTACCATCAATGTGTCTAACTCAACCCCATAAGCTAGTTCATGAAGTGAGAATTGTAAAACATCATATAACGAGACAAATAACTCGCATCTCTATTGATGTGGGAATTCAACGGCCCTACACATTTGGACCGGATATTTAAAGCGTGAACAATATAAAATGAAGTTTAACATCGCGTAAATCATAAAATTTGATGGCTCTTGCTCTACTGTCATGATGAGAGAATGGATATTAGGCTTAACTTAGCCTCAAAATCTAGTCTGTGAGGTGAGTAATATCCAAGACCATACATTGAAATAATTCACATCCTTAGTAATGTGGGAACCCAACAATAGATCTTTGGATTGTGTTGATGCACCGCGTAAAACTTAGTTCTAAGGGAGAGATTATTGGGTGCGCAAACAAAATCTATATTAGAAGTTTAAAAGATTCTTGTACGAATGTAACTAAAATATCACATTATATTAAGAGTTTTTTAGGACTAATTTAGTCGAAAATCTCTTGGAACAATGTACTCCGAAAGTTGACAATATGCTAATGTTTTATCGTATGGATATTTAATGCGAAACCTCTTTTAAATCAATAGAATTCTCGTTTATTTGATGGAAGGAAAAAAAACAAGTATTTAGGAGAATATTAAAGAGTAAGGATGAACCACTTCTAAAAACATCTATGTAGAGGTACCTTTTAACTACAAGGTGGTCTTGTGGATATCCACTCTCCACTTAATGGAGAAATTGTGGCCACCTCCCCTTTTCTCTTTCCGTTAAAGTCTTCTCATTATCCTTCAAACTTCTCGCATGCCAATGCCCCAAACTCCAAGCTTTTCTTGCCATTCTACGCTATATTCTTGGGATTTTTACGCGTTCCTATTTAAATGGCTACATTGAGCTATGTAATTAACCTTTTGCTAAGAATATTCTTTTCACTCATCGCATTATTCTCTATTCAACTCAATCATCTATCCTCATCCCCTTTCCATTGTTGTAACAAAGTTTAACTGAATCTCGAAACTAACTCGTCGATTGTGATAACAAGCCACGTGAAACTGTACGGAGAGAAATTTATGGATCGTGGTAATGAGCCACATGTAACTTAGTTCAAGTGGAAGATTAGGATGTGCGAACAAAATCTTATATTAATAGTTGGAAAAATTGAAAAGTCACATCTAAAATGCATAAATACTCTTACATATTTGGAGAAAATCGTTAGTCTGATTTACCTTAATATATCTTGACAAAATGTATTTGTCTACAAAGTGGTCGTGTGGCTATCCCCTCTCTACCTAATGGACAAACTGTGAGCACCTCCCCGTTTCTCCTCCCGTGAAATCCTCGCATTCTACCCATGCCAATGCCCCAAACTCGAAACTTCCCTTGTCCTTCTACGCTATATTCTTGGCATTTTTACGCATAATAATGCATACGCCTACATTGACCTTTGTAATTAACCTTTTTGCCCTAAGTAATTAACCTTTTTGCTAAGAATATTCTCTTCACTCGTCGCATTATTTTCTTTTCAAAACATATGATACTCCTTTTCTTTTATGTGACAGAATTTAACTCGATATGTATGTAAGAGAAATAAAAATGTGCTTAACACTTGTGATTTTAAAATTTACCATAATATTTTGTGACTACAAATATGTTTACCCTAAAAGTTGAGTAACAATTAAACTTATATTGTGGTTTTAAGGTGTTTACCCTAAAAGTTGAGTAACAATTAAACTTATATTGTGGTTTTAAGGATATGAGATTTAAACCAGTACCAATTGATAAACAATGAATTAATTAGATAAATTGGACAATAAAATAAATCAAACTGGTCTGCAAACAATGCCTCGACCTCGATTCGAGATAGTCTCGAGGTTAGTTAATAAGAACAGTAGAGGATAGAATAAACAGCGATGAACAGTAAGTAAAACAAAGAAAGGAGCGTATGTGTATATTCTTATGAGTGAATAATGATTCTTCCCCTTACAAGTGAATGTGATCCCTCTTTATATAATAGAGGAATCCTAAATAAGGTACAACTCTAATAACGGAAGTAGATCCCATAATTTGTACTAATAACTGATTTGGTTTGATCTGTTCCAGGATTTTCATCGTGATCTTCAACCGGTTATTGGTATCTCACCATTCCGTTATTACGCCTTACTCGAAGTCAGCCATGCTTGATCTCGATTATTGCTGGC